TCCCGCCCCTGCCCGTACCTCAACTGGCGATGCCGGCGCCCGCTACCGTGCTGCCTCCTCCTCCGCTCGGCTTCGCCGGCTCGGATTCGGGATCGAAAAAGCGGCGTCGCAAATCGACGGAAGCGGCATCGCCTGATCGCCGGAGCAAGCGCTTGTCCAAGGCTCGCGAGCCGTCGGAACCGCTCACTCGTCACGATTCGGAGGAGCAGGACCATTACGACACCGATCCGAGTGCGCTGAGCGGAGCCGATTCCGATGAGGACGGTTCAGGCGCCTGGCTCTCTCGCGGCGTCTCGCACGAGGATCTCGATCACCTGCCTTCGCCCCCGGCAATCTTCACCACCGCGTCGACGTCGTCTGGCCTCGCCGCCGCCGCCGCCGGTCCGAGTGGCACGAGAGCGGGCAAACCGCTCGGGCAGAGATTGTCCGCTCTCGACGTGCTCGCCCAGGCGAGCGCAAGTCAGGAGGCCGCCGACTATGCCCACTTGCCCGCCGACGAAGCAAACTCTTTCTCCGGCAAAGGAAGCAAGGGCAAAGCAAAGGCCGATCCCGAGGCCAAAGCCCGTAGTAGGAGTGCGTCGAGCGTCGGGCCCGACGGCAAGAAGGCTCGCAGTCCGTACATCAAGGTGAGTGCGCACGTCCTTCGAGCGCCGTTCCCACTGTTTCTGACCGCGCGTTTCTCTCCGTCCGTCCGCGATCAGTGGAATATCTCCGAAGACGAAGCCCTCATCCGAGCGGTGATCCAGTGCGGCTGCGCCTGGGACAGCGTCGCAAAGTTGTGCCCGACGCGCGCATACCATCAAGTTCGACAGCGGTTCCTCCGTGGCCTCAAGAGCGGCGAGACGCTCCCGCCCGAACTCATGTACCTCCAACCGGCGCTTTTGAAAAGCGTTCAGGAGTACGAAACGAAACGGTGCGCATCCCTCGCGCTGCTCGGAGCAGCGGCCTCGCTCGTAAAACTCACTCTAAGCGAAATCCTGCAGGAAACGCAAAAAGCTCGCGAAACAAGCAGCTCAGCTGCTTGCCGATGATGTGATGCTCGAAGAGCAGTAAAGGTCTATTCTACTTGCCCGTTCCAGCACGCATGTGCCCCGTGACTTTCACTCAATCTGTGCAGTATAGTGCTCCCCACCCGAATGTCTCTACCACAATAGCCGTATAGTCTCGCGGCAATTCGGAAGATATTGAAAACATGCTGTGTTTCACTCACGCTCAGGCGCTCGTCGACCCGCGTTCAGTCTGCCACAGGAGGTATGCCAAAGAGTGCGACGGCCGCGTCACGCTCGGAACGACTGCAGCGGGCGCAGAAAACCAGAGCAGCTCGCCGAGAGCGTCCCCGCGGAACTTGGTCTCTGCTCGTCGAGGAGCGGGAGTGGTCAGCCACCTGAACTCTTGAAGATTTGAAGCGTAAAATCGGCAAGCAGATAACTGTTACTTACTCAAATTCGCTGGTAGTGGTGCATACGCCTCTGCGCTCGCAGCGAGCTCTGCTGGGGTGCCGGCAGAGTGGGCTGGGTAGGCGGCAAAGGCCGGAAGGCTCGCTTCTTGCAGGTCGAACGAGGGTTCGGCGACTGGTTGGAAGGAGGCGGCGGGCAGGACGAGACCATCGGTGGTGGGGTGGACGGGTGCAATCGCAAGCGGGGCACCGACCGCTGTGCTTGGAGACCCGTGTGCAGTGGCGCTGGTATGCGTCGAGATCGCAGCTTGCTCGCCTACTGCGCCGCCGGTCATCGTCTCGATGCGAGCCTCCTCGGCCGTCTGGGGTCGACCTTCGTTGGAGAAGCGATACGAGGGCGACGAGATCGCCGCTTGGTTCGGTCCAGTCGAGTCGAGTCGGCCTGGGCCTGGTACACCACGCACAAACGGACTCTTGACGCGGGCCAGCTGATCGACGTGCCCGTCGGCGTACGGCTCGAAGTCGTACTCGTGCGCGCGGATTTCTTCCGGGATGCAGGAAGACCAGCTCTTGATCTTCTTGAACTGTTTGATGTCGTCCTTGTACCGGTGTTCGCAAACGTAGAGGGGCATCGACGCGTCCCATGCTTTCGGACGTCCGCGAGTGTACCGAGTGAAGAACATCACAAAGCAGGTACCGAGGAAGTCTTCGATGTTGCTGCGAGCGACGTGCCCCCGCGTCAGTTCGGCATTTGGCGTTGCTCAGTTCCAGATGGGCTTACTGATCGACAAAGACGCCCGTCTTGAACACCTCGTTCTCGTAGAATGTGCGCGAGACCGGGTGAACAGTCTCTTCGGGCTGCAACACATGGTGCGGAGGGTTAAATCGAAGGTGGCTGAGCAGATCAAACACGGCACGCCTCACCCGGTAGTACCAGCATACGCTGACGCATCTTTGCGGTGAGCTGGTAAGGGGGAAGAGTATGCTGGGTCAGCGACGTGAGGGCCGGTGGGCCAAGATTGAGAGCTTACTCAGGCCGTTTATACGTCTTCCAGATCTGGGCAATGATCGGTTTACCCGGCGCGTCCGGGTTGAGCAGGTGGATCCAATCGCCTGGTTTTACGGTCCCGTATCAGCAATCGGTCCTGACCATACAAGAAGTGTACGCCTTGCCTGTCCGAAGCGTGTGGCCTTTGAAATTGATGCTGTCGAGGAAGATCTTGTCGCGCAGGGTGGGTCGCGCCGTTGCTTTGCTCTTGTAGTCGGTCCCTTGACTTGCCTCATCGCCTTTGGCGTGCTGCACGTTGCCGGGACCTCCGCTGACGGAGGACAGACTCGCTGCCGTCTCCGCTTCCGCCGCCCGGTCCGCCGACGAAGCATTCTTGGTGAGCTCTTGGTAGAGGCGCTGCATGAACGATTCTGCGTCAATTACAGCCGGGTCGTAGGGACGGGAACACAGAGAGATCGCGTACCTGCAGAACCATCAAGTCGCTGTACACGTTGCCCGAAGATTCTGGCAGGATGAAGAGCCGGGCTACTTCGAACAGACGATGCAGGTCACGGTCGCACGCCTCTGCAGATGCGTACGCGTGCGCGCGGATATTCGCCTGTTTGGTGGAGGAGGTCTGTGAGTGCTAGTCATCTGTGCGACGCGGAGCAAATTCGCGTACATCAATCGTGTTGAGCGAGATGGGAGGGTTGACCAGCTCGTAGTAGTCCGGTCGCGATGCTGGCTCCGGTACGTCGATCAAGGGCGTCGCGAGCAGTCGTCCGCTGTGCAAGAAGCGCGGTGAGAACAATTTTGAGGTGGCAACGCTTACCCGACACACCTGACATCGGTATAGGTTCGCAAACGATCCACGATGCCCAGCAGCATCGTTTCGTCCTGTGGGAGGGAGCTAGCTAAGTCCGTGTATGAGTCGCGCGCTTGTAGTCTCGGGAGGAACGTACGGCAGGGCCGCTGAGCCAACCGGATTCCACGTCGGGAATGGTCGGTATTGAGGGCGGCTTGGTCTCTTCTCCAGTCGCACCTTCTGCTGCTGCTGTCGCTCCTGTTCGGACAGTGGCATCTTCGCTATCCTGTCGTGCGCTCTGCGTTCCCGGTGCAACCGCGGAAGGGCTCCGAGACGTCGAAGCCACCGCGGAAGAATCGGCGTATTGAGAGGTCGAAGCCAGCGACGGCGTGAGCCTCCCGCCGCCGAGTTTGACCGTAAGGGATGGTGCTGGAGCGGGTTGCGCTGTGATCATGGAAGCCGACGGCGGATTCGGACTGGGAGCAGTGGTGGCAGCAGAACCCGCGGTCGAGCTGGCGAGCGACCCGGTGAGTTTGATGCGTTTCACTTTGCGTTCTGGCTCCCTCGGACTGGCGACCGCGGCGGGTGCGAACGGCGCTTGGGCGGGCGGAGCCTGGCCGGGCCGGACGAGCGTCTCGTAGGCTGGAAGAGGCGGAGATCGCTCGCGCCATAGCCGCTCCATGAAGGACTGTCTCGTCGCGTCAGCGCTGCTGTGACCCTTTTTCTGGAAGAGCTATTGCCGCCATGGGCCTTACCTCGAGCTTGTCCGCGTCTGCGTAGACGAGACTGCCTTGTTCGTTGTATTCGCGCGCGTTCGACCAGATGAGGAACAGGTCGTACGCGACTGCCTGCGGAGACGAGTAGAGGTTGCGATGCATGTTGTTCTGTTGAGTGGGTGGGATGCCGCGGGTCAGTTGGAGGCTGTCGACTTAGGACCCAGCAGTAGAAAGCGGGGGGAGGACGAGGCCTTGAGGTTGGGGGCCGAGCAGTGGCTCATCGAGCGCCGGGACAAGTGGAGATCTAGCGCACCATGACGTCGTGGAGGCATCGCGGCTCCTTGATCACGATGTAGTAGTCTGGGTAGAGGCGTCGGTCCGGAAGGTCGCGAAAGATGGCAGAGTAGTATCGCTTCTGGCCGCCGGGCGCTGCCGTTTGGAGGTTGTACAGCGAGGACAGCAAGTTGTCCAGCACCTGCTGCAGTGGCTGGGCGAGCCCCATCTTGATGCGGACTTGGGGCAGATGCGCGTGTCGGCGGCGCGTCGGCGGACGGGGATCAAGCGGGGATCTCTGCCAGCGGTCAAGTCCTGGAGGTGGGTCAAGTCGAGTGGGTTATATGCGCAAAATTATAGCTTCCTGACATCAAATTGGGCGCTTTAGCTCAGTTGGGAGAGCGACAGACTGAAGCTTCGATTCGAGCTGCACTTCTGCAGGTCTCCGGTTCAATCCCGGAAAGCGCCATTTCTTTTTGCACTTTTTCTACGTGCTCAGCTTTTTGTTGCCTCAAGCCGGGATCTCTTAGTGGCTCGCGAGTACAATTGGCTCTATCAATCAATATTGCCCGTCAAAGGCACCAGTGGCTGTTGGGAGGAGGAAGCTTATGGACGTACGCGTACGAGCTTTTGAGCCTATTACCAAAATGTGCCCGTGGTGCTTGCTGCCAGGATGGTGCTGAGGCATCGCTAGGCATGTCATAGTCAAGTTCCTGCTTACTACATGCCAAACAATGCGGCATTGAGTTCCGCCCCCGGCGCCAGTTCGGCTAGCAAACACACAATAAATGTATATGCCAAAATTTGCATGCTCACATCGATGGCCGCGTGGCCCAATGGCAAGGCGTCTGACTACGATTCAGCGTATATCAGGAGACTCTGGGTTCGAGCCCCAGCGTGGTCAATTCTTTTTTTTTGCAGCTGGTCTGGGTGCTCAGCTGCTGCAGCTGTAGGCTAAGTTGCTAGTCGGCACCACAACTAGCAACTCTGCAGCCTGGTCTATAGAGTCCTCGGCGAGTGCCTCTTTCAATTTTGAGGAATACTGTCCTCTCTTTGCTTGGGCAATAGTAGTGACCACTGGGCAGTGGTCAATGCCCGTGGGCTTGCCGTTCCCAAGGAACTCCTGTAGCCAGTTGACCATAGGCAGGTGCCTCAGGTAACCCTGAGGTCAGTCCACACTGGATTGGCAGTGACGCTCAATTTGCTCAAAGCATCGCAAGAAAGAAAAAAAAAAGAGCAAAGGACAAAAGAAAGATCTTTTGGAGGACCAGGGAGTCGAACCCTGCACCTCTCGCATGCTAAGCGAGCGCTCTACCGATGAGCTAGACCCCCACCAACGTGTAGAGCGAGTCTAGTTTGCCAAACAGAACAGGCACGGCACAACCGGGCAGAAAACACACCTCAACTCGGCCCCGTCGCCCCGGACTGCATCTCCAAGACCATAACCCAGGTAGACCGTCAATTGGCCAATCCGTCAATTGGCCGTTTCCCAGCCTCTTTTGCCACTCAACCTCTATATAGTGGCATTTAAGGCCGGAAACTGTGCATGCATTATGTGAACTTTGGCTCTGCATCACCACAGCGAATTTTAGGCAGTTTGAAGGAGCCCTCAAGGAAGTGCGGCTGCACAAAGACGCTCGGGCCAAAAACGCCCGACTAAAAAAATTCCTGAGGGTCGGCATAAGGCTCAACGTCAGCAAGCTTGAAGGTGCCCATGGGTTACACTTCGATTGAGCTACGTGCGAAGTGGGGCAGCTGGAGAACACGTCGCTATGCGTGCATCGGGGAAAAAGAGGATTCTTGCGGAATAACAGCGCTCAAACCGTGTTCTCCTGGAGTATAGTGGGCACAGCGCTTTATCAGAGTCAGAGTATCTACAAAGGACAAAAATGTGCATTTCCGGACACGGTTGTGAGGGATACTGGCACTGCAGGGAGCAAAGATGACCGTCGTGTAAAATTCAGCTGAAAGCAGAGAGAACAGGGAAAAGGAGGGCTCACAAAGATGGTGGGGCATCTAACGAGGTGGCTGCATCGATCTCGAGGCGGCAGACGGGCCGGGCACGGGCGTAAACTCGGGGGGTCGAGGGAGAGCAAAAGTGTGCGCCGCCGGAGCAGCTTGTTGCATAGGGGGGCAATTTTCTGGCAAGCGGAGCGCGCGACTTGGTCAGTAGCTACTACGACCGCGTGCTTCATGCGCGAGAGCGCTAGAATGGGGGGAAAACGCACCGTCAAGCGGGGAAAGGGGAAGCGTGCTCGGGGTGCCGGCCCATCCGCTGGTCGACCACGGGTGCTGCCCATACGAAAACGCCGGGTGCGGTTGCGGTAAGTTGTGCAGTCCGTTAAACTGGAGCGGCGGGTACGGGGGAGCGAGAGCGGGCGCCAAGGGCGTTGTCGTAGGGAACGGCTCGGAGCCGGTGCACGGCGTCTGCTGCGCTGGGCGGCACGCCGGCACTGTCGGGAGCACCGAGCTCAAGCTGTGACGTGGTGGTAGCAGCGCTGCATGATCCGGACCCTCGACCGGGGCAGGATCGCGGAGTCAAGCCGTCTCCTGCTCCGCGTGCTTCTTCTGGGCGCGCGCTTCAGCTCGAGCCAGGGTCTCCATGCGCTTGTTAGCCCGTTGTTGGGCTGCCAAGACCGCCTCTTGATGTTTCGACGGGTCGAGGAACCCTTCACCCTGCTTGACGACCGTACGGTTTACCTTTTTCTTGCCCTTGACGAGATGGTTCCTTGCGCGCTCGAGAGCCTCGTCCTTGGCGGCCGATTCGGCGGCGACAGAGTCAAGAGTTCAGGAGAGTTGGGAGAACAGCCAGGGCGGCCTCGCCGGCCGTGGAAAGGTCAGTAGGCGGCTTCTTCTTGAGCCGCGACGTCGTGCGGCGCGCCGAGCGTGGCGTAAAAGCGGCAACCGGCGTCGCTCCCTTGGTATAGCGCTTCAGGACGTCGGCGTCAACGACGCTAGCTGCATCAATCGTCGACACCGCGCTGGTTCGAGGGAGTGGACGAGGAGAAGGGGCACGGTCCGGAGACTGATCACCTTCGATTTCCGTCTCCGAGTTGTCGGAGCTGGCGGACTCTTCGGCAAGGAAGCACTGGTGGCTAGGCTGTGCATGAGCCGGGCGCTTGCACAGGTCTTGCACTTTCGTGTTGCGCTTCAAGTCGATTGGCCAAAGGCCCGTGCGCGAGAACGCCGCTTGCACGGCGTCACCCATGAGAGCTTGCTTGCGGACTGACCGAAGATGGCTATTAAGTTATCTTTGATCAGCTGGAAGGCAAAGTACCAACAAAATTCGCAGATAGAGTGTGCGCACCGGATGAAATCACCCTTTCCAACTGAATCTCCCACCCGAAGGCTTTCTTGCAGGTGCTGCGAGTAGTAGTGCTGCAGAGGTCCGAAGAGCGAGACATCGAGCGGCTGGACGAGGTGCGTGGTATGCGGAATGAGGAGGAAGGGCATGATGCGGTGCTCGAATGCGTACTCAAGAAACTCGAGGGTTTCGTGCGACCCATGTCCGTCAAGGATCAGCAGCCGCCACTCGTAGGCGTTGTACCGGACGCTGAAGACAGGGAAGGCGGTCCGGAGGAAACAGGTCAGGTCAACAACCCTGTAACACGGGTGAAAAAGAAGGGAGGAATCTGGACTCACTACTTGCGGCTCTCACGGTCAAAGAATTTGAGCCATTCAAGGCTCAGCTTGTTGTCGGTATATCCGCTTGTCGAGTTGCCCTTCAGCGCGCCAGGGATGTCGTCTTCGGGACCGACAGGCTCCCAGCCGAGCAAGTAGTTCTGACCGGCAAAGATGATTGCAGGCGGTAGGACCTTCCCTGCGGCGGAAACCGCCTCGATTACGGTTATGAGCTCTTGAGAGCCGTCTGGGAAGCCGCCAGCAGATCAGTAAGAGGTGTATGTGGCGCAGAAAGACCGCACTCACCTTCCGCTGCGACCGGCTTGCACCTTTCTCCGCGCGGAACAAGCACTTGCTCACTCCGCGCTTGCCCCACCATAAACCCCTTTTTGTCCATATTCCACACCTGGGCGGCCCGCCGGATCTTCTTCTTGTCGCAGACTTGGGCAAGCTGGGTAGGTGGGAATCAGCTTTTGCCGGGGGCAGATTATCCGGAAAGGGGGGCGTACATCCTCCCACCACCCCTGCATCTGACCGAACGACACCGCATAGTTTCGCTCCTTGGCAAGGCGTTTGGCTCTCCGCACGAGTAGCCGCCCTCGGTGCCGCTTCTTGAAGTTCCGGTACCAGCCCTCGCTGAGATCCGGTCCGGTATGGCCTCGCTCGCGGCGAATCTTGTTGGCGAACTGTAGGACGTGTCGCTTGGCTAAAGGGAATTGAGCCTGGGCGGCTTGCGCCGTGTAGTCGATGATGCGTTCCTCCTCCTCTGGGTCGAGCGCCTGCCTCTCCTTGCCCTCGTCGGCGCGCGAACGGCCGCCCCTCAGACGGTGCTGGATGGTAGTTTTAGACACTTCGAAATCGCGGGCGATCCCAGCGACCGTCTTGACGCCTTTGCGGGCTTTGCCGGCTGGTTGCGAGAGGTGGAATCCGTGTTCGCGACATTCGGCCTCCGCCTGGTCCAGTGCAGCCGCCTTCCGTTGCGCAACGAGTTCCGCCGTTGGCCGACCACGGCGTGGCATCCTTCGGGCCAACTCAGAGGCCCTGCAGGAGCGTGTAGCGAGTGACAGTTCTCGATCAACAACGAAGTCGAGGTTGAGAAGGACCGCAAACGGACGATCGAGAGTCGAAAAAACAATGACGCGTTTGCTCGGCTTCTCTTCGAGCATAGCGCGGAAATATCTCAATTGAAGCCCATAGCAGCCTTCTCTATGCTCTATCCAACCATATGGACGTGATTGCGAGTTCTAAAGTTCACTATGGCACGCTCTAGTGTGGCTCAAAAGTTATTTGGCCATTTCCGGCCAATTGACGGTCAACCTGGAGTAGTCTAAAAGAAAAGACTGCTGCGCACCTGACCAGTCAACCTAGGCATTGCAGGGGCCAGTGGCCGAAGCGCGAGTGCAGTGAGAAGGTCGAGCTCGGTCACTCTAGAAAATGGCCCCGCACTGTGCCCTATGGCACCGGAGGGCACCCCCAAGACCATAACCTAGCCAAATAAGACTGCTGCGCACCCTTTTTGCAAAACCGGAAGTCTAGGGGAACAATAGCCACAACGTGTGAGCGAGGTGGGAAGGTCAAGCTTGGTTGCTTCAGACAATTGCCCACCACTCTGGCCCACATCCCCTAGACCATACTTTAGACAAAATAAGGTCTGCGCTTCTCTCAATAGAAGCCGAAACTCTGGGGAAGCAAGAGCCAAAGGAGGAGAGGAGTGAGAATGTCAAGCTCGATTCAGAGGCAAGAACGTGCCCCAGCTCCGCCCCTTTGCTCCAGAAGGATACTCTTCGGCTATGACCCGGCTTAAAACCAACTGTGCACTCCTCCAAGAACACCAGACCTCAAGAGGACCGTCGCCGAAGCAAGAGCGAAGCGAAAAGGTCGAGCTCCGTAGTCGGGCAAAAACGCCCACGAGCTCAGTGTCTCAACCCCGAAGCGCATTCTCAGAGCTTTGGCACAGGGGTAGGGGGTGCTGCGCAGCCTGTCAAAGAATCTAGAGGTCTCAGGGCACTGTAGAGGCGACCTAGTTTGCCCAACTGAGCCCAAACGCGCACACCTTGGAAAGAACCACACCTCAACTCGGGCCCCTCCGCCCTGGAGCGTATCCCTGAGACCAGCGTCCACTTGAAGCAACTTCTGAGCACCTTGGCAATCAACCTAGACCTCAAGGAAACCAGTGGCCAAAGTGTGAGCCTTGCGCAAAGGTCAAGCTCGGTCAACTTGGGGAAACGCACCCTAGCTCGGGCCTATTACCCTGGAGCAAATGCCCAAGGTTACAGATGCGGC